TCCCTGCTGAGCAGGGAGCCCGATGTGGGACTCGATCCCAGGACTCCAGGATCATGACCTGAGCCGAAGGCAGTCGCTCAACCAACTGAGCCACCCCTAAAAAAAGACCTATTGTGTATGTCAATCTCACACCCTCATTATGTGAGATAAAAGTAATTGAATTAAAAGACTCCTGCCAGCTCCCATTCTAAAAGAGATAAGAGATGTGTGTATAAGTTTAATCAGTTGTCAGGCAACCATTTACTTTTTTCTCTACTTTTAAATGCCTAGCAATATATAGGAAAGGGAATATTTGCTGAGAAGGGCTCTTGAGGTTTTCCACTTAATGGATTTAAAAAGGTAAGTTTTAAAGAAGTAACCATGGCCTGAAAATCCTCTGGGCCAAGTTAAGGCAAGAGGAACTTGAGCTTATTCAGAGAAGAGAGAAAATAGTATTAGCTGAAAAAGAAATAAGTTCTAGTACTTGAAAATTTTTAGTTTTTACATATTTGTTAATGGCATTATCTTACTGAAAAAAGTATTTGGCATTATATAGTGGACAGGGAGTTCAGAAAGGGGTTCTAATTAGTTATTACCGTACACATATGATTTTATGTACTTACGGGATAAATTCTCAGAGTAGAAAACCACTAAGTTCCCTTCTTTACCAGTTTCTAAATTTTCATTACTTTGGAATAGTTGCTATAAGATTTGTGTGTGTGTATATATACCTATCTACATACATACATACGTGTATTTTTAACTGTATACCTTAAAAACAAGAAAGAAAAAGGAAATTAAAGTGGTAAAACAAAAAGCCTGAAATGAGATGTTAGCTATGAATCCAAATATAATCCGTAAATACAACACTAAATGTTAATGGACTAATTACTCCAGTTAAAAGACAAAGACCTGATGACGTTATGTTAAGTGAAGCCAGCTACAGAAAGACAAATAATGTGTGATTCCACTCTTATGAGATATCTAAAACAGGTAAATTTGGAGAATCAGAGTGGAATGGTGGTAGCCAGAGACCCAGGGGGAGAGGGGAATGGGAAGTTACAGGCACAAGTTTCAGTTAAACAGAATGAATAAGCTCTATAGTCTGCTGTACATGTACCTGTAGTAAAACAATAATGTACATTTAAAATTTATTAAGAGGGAAAAACCTCATACAAAAGTGCTCTTACAACAGTAAAATAAAGACAAAGACTGTCAGAACTGTATTCTGTTTACAGGAGATATATGAAAAGATTAAAGACAAAGATTGAAAGAAAATTTTAAAATAATCATGCAGATTCTAACCAAAAGACAGTATACTTAACAAGAGGCACAAAGTAGTTCAATAATTATCAGAGTAAAAAAGGGTCATTGCTTATAGGTGGAAAGATTTAATGCATCAGGAAGATGTAATAATTACAAGTTTTATGTACACAGTGACATAAATTCAAAATACAAATGCAAAAATTGATAAAAATACAAGGAGAAATAAGCAAACATTATCATAATGGGAGATTTGAACATGCTCCTTTCTAACTGACAGAACAGTCAGACAAATTGATTAAGGGCATAGAATAGGGGTGAGTGCTTTTCCTGGGCCAAATAAATATTTAGGCTTTTACAGGCCAGTTAATATCTCTGTTGTGTGTGTGCATATTAAAACACCCCTTCAAAATTTTAATAACTGTTCTTAGCTGGAGAGCAGTACAAAAATAGGTTGCAGGCAGACCCCCTTCCTCAGCAGATTACAATCAGTAGCTAAAAATCTTTCCAGAAAACTATGGATTCTCTGGCAAATTTTACCAACTATTTTAAGAAGTAACGACTAAGTTCACTTTTACACAAACTAAAAAAGAACATTTTTCAACTTTTTTTTAAGGCTAAAATAACATACTTATATAAGAAAACCCAACAAGAAATAAGAGGAATGAAAATTTGAAGAAAATATCAGTCTTTATAGATGCAAAAATCCCAGAAAAATCTTAGCAAAATGGATTCAGCAATTCATAAAAAGGATGATCTGTCAGGGGAAGGAAGGTTGTTTTAACATGAGAAAATCTGTAAATGTATTCCACCCTATTAATAGATGAAAGGAGAACATTTGTTAGTAAGTGCAGAAAATGCTTTGATAAAATCCTATTGATTAAAAACTTTTAGCAGTGTAGGAAATAGAACTTCCTTAACCTTAAAAAAGAATATCTACCAAAAACCTGTAGTAAATAATTTCAGTGATGCATTGAATGCTTTCCCTTTGAAGAGAGGGATGAGACAAGGAAGGATGCCTACAGTCAGCCTATCTTCAGTAATTTACTGGAAATCTAGACAGCACAGTACAGCAAGGAAAATAAAAGATACAAGGACTGAGAAGAAACAAAACTTATTTTGTACACATAAGATTGTACAAACAAAACCACAAGCTATAAATAAATGTTTAGAATAAAAGTTAAGCAGAGTTGGTCAGTATAAAATTTCAATTTCTATACAAACAGTAAAATTTAGGAAAAGATGCCAATTATGATGGCATCAAAATACCTTAAGCCCTTTGAGAAAAATCTAACAAAAGCTGTGTGAGACTTCACTGAAGTTTCTAACACTTTCCTGAGAGAAAAGATGACCTTAGTGGAGAGAGAACTAGGTCAGTGGCATGGAGGGCTAAACTGGTGTTTGACATGGAACCAATGTAATTGCAATCAACATCTCCAGTCTTTTTTGTGAGACTTGTTAAATTGATTCTGATGCTTACAGGGGAATGGAAGGAGAGAAGATCGTTTGAACAACAACAAACGGGCAGGTTTGCCCCTCCAGATATCAAGCAGTAATGAGTGAGCTCTGGGTCACTGCTGGCGTACTTGTCTAGACCAGTGGAACAGAATCGAGGAACAGATGCAGGGATATGTGGATTTTGACACACTCCAGAGGAGACAACTGCAGAGCAGCAGTGAAGGGACACACTCTTCAGAAGGGATGGTGGCACAATTGGATATCCACATGGGAAAAAAACTTCCCAGATTACTACCTTACCATACACAGATCAATTCCAGATTTATTAAAAACCTAGATGTGAAAAGCAAAACTCAAAAGCCCTTTTTTTTCCCCCTTAAATAAGCTATAAAAAGTCTGACTGTAAAGGAGAGGCTCATACGCAACTTCCCTGAAGTGAAGTAACTTTGTTTATCAAAAGTTACATGAGGATAGTAAGTTAAGCCACAAACTGGGAAAAGATTTGCAACAATCCTTTACATAATGTCAACTATCCAGAATACATAGAGAACCACAGTTGGGAAGAGAAAAAAAAATGTGTAAAAGATCAATAAGGACTAAAAAATGAGAAATCTAAATGGCCTACAAAAATATATTTAGCCTCATTAGTAATGAGAAGTGCCAATTAAAATTACCCGGAGATACTTCTATGAGTTTTTCAAAAATAAAAATGTCTGATGCTCCAAGCCTTTTGTCACTGTGGGAATGGAGTCTTACCCTCCTCTGGGAGTGTGAGCAGACTGGGAAATGGGTATTACCTAAAAAAGTTGAAGATGCCCCTATGAGTCAGTGATCACACTCCTAGTTGTAGACCTTAGATATTGTACGATGAGACATACAATAAAAATATTCATAGCATAGTTTATAATAGTAAAAACGTGACATGCTTATCTGTGGAACCATGGACAACTTGTAGTATATCCATCCATACAATGGAATGCTAAACAAAGGGAAGATGAACAAGATCCAGCTACACCAGGCTGACTTGCACATTAGGGGGGCAAATCACCAAAGGATATACAAAGTACGATAATATTTATATAAAGTTCATAAATAGGAAAAACTGTACTAGGTGGTGAATCTACAGCAAAAACCAAGGAGCAAATGAGAGTAAGAGTCAAGACTTGGAGACCTCTGGGTAAAGGGGATAGCTGTCAATGCCCAGAGAGACCTGAGGGCTTCCGGGCTGCCAGAGTCAGGCAGCCCGTGTCCTGTCATTACACATGGGCCATGGCGACACGGTGCTTGTTATTGCTCAAAATCTTTAGTTTGCGCATATGAGTGAAAATATTGTGTCAGTACTTGATAAAATGAGCATGTCATTTACGGTGATACAAAATACACAAGACAGAATTATGGTTTTAAAAGTTTATCTTTTAGGGCGCCTGGGTGGCTCAGTCGTTAAGTGTCTGCCTTCGGCTGAGGTCATGATCCCAGGGTCCTGGGATCGAGTCCCACATTGGGCTCCCTGCTCAGCGGGAAGCCTGCTTCTCTCCCACTCCCCCTGCTTGTGTTCCTGCTCTCACTGTCTCTCTCTGTCAAATAAATAAAATCTTAAACTTAATCTTTTAAAGAAAATACAGGTTTTAAAATGTTAGTATGCTAAGAAAATCATCTCTTTGTACCTCAAAATAATTGTCATAAATCCTCAGTAATAAAAATGGATATGAGGTAATCAGCTGCAAAGTCCTATTATTCCCATTCTTTGAATAGTAGTCAAAGCCAACTAAAAGCAAGTGTTTTTAAAAATACGTAACTGACATTTTCCCTTTTTTTTTTCCTTAAAGAAAGGGTGGATTTTTTGTCGATCTCTTTGTAAGAGTATCTAACCAAGTCGCAGTCAACATGTATAAGCAGTTGGGCTACAGTGTGTACAGGACGGTCATAGAGTACTACTCGGCCAGCAATGGGGAGCCCGACGAGGACGCCTATGGTGAGCTCCCTTCTGTGGCAGTCTCCCTCAAGAGAAGCCAAAACACTTACATTCATTCTACACACTGTAGTCATTTTAACAAGGGGAAAAGAATTATAGTATTTGTTGGACTTAATATTTTAAATTTCAGCTATAATATTTAAATCTCCTTTAACCTGCCTTTATGAACCTATTAATGGTTAAATTACATTAACCAATGGTTAATTGCTATCAGTTGTTATGTTACTGGCATGTTAATTTTACTAAGATTTTGTCAAAAGAACATTGGTATAAAGAGCTGAGTACTGGTGACTGGGAATCTCAAAAACATTTGTCTCTGAGGACCTAGGAAATGGGGTAGGGGACAAACCTTTTATGAGAACTTTACATACACACTTTGACATAAGGTATTTTGGTATTTGGGTACTTACATTAAATTTTGCTTCCTAACAGATATGAGGAAAGCACTTTCCAGAGACACTGAGAAGAAATCCATCATACCATTACCTCATCCTGTGAGGCCTGAAGACATTGAATAACCATGGGCAGTGGTTCTTAGGCTGATGCTCCAGATATTTTATGGACAATATTATTTTCATTGGATGATCTTGGAGCTCTATTAGGAGAAAAGTAATCATTTAGGTCTCACAGACTTCAAAAAAATACAGGTTATAAACTTGAGTCTCATTGTTTCCAGTTAGCAATATCATACCTACTAAAGCTGTTCACTGTAATAAAATTCAATCAAAAAGGCAGGTGGGTCAGATGGAAACATTCCACTGATTTGGTTCATAATATGCTAGGGAAAAAACTTGCTCCAGTCTCCTCCTAAATTCTGTGCCTGAGAACCACTGCTACATACATATTTTTTATTTTGTATCAAACTGTTAATTGAAGCTTTAAAAGCATATATGAAATGTATAAATCTAAGATGTATAATAAAATGCACTGCAGACCCTATGAATGTTCTGGAAGCTTGTTGGTCATTTATAAAATTAGATCAGGATTGAGAAGAGCCATCATTTAGGATATGATGTTTCTCTTGTTTGGCTTACATAGAAAGTGTTTTTAAAATACATACTTGAAACAGCCCTTGCCCAGCAATATTTAGGCATCCTTCTTATTGCATAGTAAATTCTTCCCAGATAACTTGTTTACATACTGTTAGTCCCAGATCTTTTCCTTGTCTAATCTCATACCACTTTGCTTAAATCCTGCCTTTGAAACTATAAAAAGACACTGAGGTTTCTTTAAAGGGGAAAAAACCTAATTCCAAAAGAAAGGCCATAAAACTAGGTTGTGGGCCACCCATGTAGTTTCATGTATAGTTTTCTTTACTTGTAATACCTGAAAATATCCAGTGAGTAAAAGAAGTGGCTAAAGAAAACCCCACAGAAACGATTACTAAAAAGCTTTTGCCTCTTAAAGGACTTACTCATGTTCTCCCATGAGAAGGTAAACTTTTTCCTTCATGCATTTCATGCTGGCACCAGCCAGAAAGTGGTGGTAGGAGTTTACATTGGGAACCTATTAATTTTTGTTCTTATGCAGCATAAACAGGACAGAATTATAGAAGACTCTGATTAGGGCGCCTGGGTGGCTCAGTTGGTTAAGCGACTGCCTTCGGCTCAGGTCATGATCCTGGAGTCCCGGGATCGAGTCCCGCATCGGGCTCCCTGCTCAGCAGGGAGTCTGCTTCTCCCTCGGACCCTCTTCCCTCTCATGCTCTCTCTCTCTCTCAAATAAATAAATAAAAAAAAAAAAAAAGACTCGGATTAGTCACTTAATTAGCATTTTGACCTGCTTTCATCTCACTCCTTGACTCTGCACTTAGCTAAAGGGTATTAAAATCAGAAATGTTCCTCCTGGCCAACCGGACCTCAGTACTCCATAGTCAGGACCCACGTGACACCCAGCAGCTGGATGACACTGGTCCAGAGCTGGAAGCACTGAGGCTGAACACAGGTGTGCCTTTGATCCTGGCCGCCTCTGCCCTCAAACACTAGCTTACTTTCAAGATACAATTAGTACCATACTGACTAGCTTTTTTTATTCCTAACTTATTTGTAAATTTAGTAAGCCTTACCCAATTAAATCTGCCAATAATAAAGTTGCTAGTTGCCCTCCCAGGTGAAAAAATACTCTTAAAGATGACAGTTCGAGTCAAATAGCTTGGACAGTGAACAAAACAAGAAAAAAGGCCTGAGAAATCAGGCCAGATTAAAGAAAATAATCAGATCAGTTAAGGCAAATATTTTTTGCTTGAGGATATGAGCAATGCTTCAACAAATGTGTTAACATCTCTGTGCTACTTTAAGTTTTCTTTTTTGGCATTATAGTTGGTTACCTTTGGTGTTTTTTACGTGTTCTAAACCAAGCCTAAGTTAAATGTATCCTGGATTACAGTAGCTACTTTCTGCTGTAACACACTAGGGAATGTTTATTGGTACTACAGGTGGAAATGATTCCCTCGTCCAGTAAGGTTGGGAAACAGGCCAGCATTGCTACTGGGGTTCATCATGTACAGTAACGTATCCAAGTCTCTGAGAAGCTGAACTGTAAAGAGATTTGATTAACAAGGCTCAACCTTAACCTGGGGTTTCCTAAATTTACTGGAGCAGGGGGCACTGTTTTTCACAGCACATGTGTTACTATTCCTTAAGCCATTACAGAGCTCAACCAGTGGGGTAAACTGATTACAGCATGAAATTTGACTAAAACATCTTGGTAGCAAAAAGACCTTGTTCGGAAATACAGTAACTATAAATTATTTCCCAACTGGTGTTTTCAAAAGCATGTAGTGCCAATGGCCACTGTTAAGAAAGTATGGATATTTACAAGTTAAATTAATCCAAGCACATTCAATTCTACAAGGATGAATGTGTTTAGGAAAGTGGCTGGGAATGAACATTTTATTGAGCAGTCACGATGTGCCAGGTATATTGTTTCTAATCTTCAGAATGAGTTGGCAGATGCCCATTTTATGAGAGAAGAAACTAAAAGATTAAGTTATAGATTCGTGGCAGCTGGGAATGGAATTCGAGTCTGAAGATGTGAAGAAGTTAGAGATTTCAGGTGAGTGCACTAAATACCTTTATGAAGAAGACAAGCATAAAAAACACTTTAAAAGTTACTGTAGAATGTAACTTGAACACTTCTAGAAAAACACTTTCAAAAATGCAGGTCCATCTTGAAAGCATTACCTCAATTAGATTTCCTAATACGTGATATGGACCAAAAAAAAAATGTTTGGATTCCGATAAAACTAATGGTTAAAAAAATTTTCTTGCAACCCCCCACCCCTCACTAACCCAAGAACATTTTAAAAATAATTCAAAAAATAGCTATCAAAGACTCCAATCAATTCCTTACTGGTGAAATATACAAAAACTTACGGAGTCACAAGAGTTTCGAACGATTAATTTATAAAAATAATAAAACACTTATCAATATGAACAAGAACATCAGGATTCACTCTCATCAATGTCCTTATCTGGGTCTTGCTCTGCAGCCTCCTTTTCCTGTTGCTGTTTCTTCCAGAGTTTGGCCATGGCCAGAAGCTTGAGGTTGGGTTGGTTGGCAGCATCTTCCGGAAAGATGTAATCATAGTACTCTTCCCAGCCTGCATCAGACTATGGAAAAAAAGGAAAACAAAAGATAAGCCAACACATGGCTGAAATACACTGCAGTTACTTTAAAGTGGAGAATTTTCACTGCAAAACCCTGGAGTGTTCAAATTCAACTTATGTTCATTTACAAAACAACACCAAAGCCCATCACAGAAAGAACAAGGGCTGGGCCTGCAAGACTGGGGTGAACAAGTAGCTGTGGGGTAACTAGGTGATGCAGATTAACAAGGGCACGGGGTGTAATGAGCACTGGGTGTTATATAAGACTGATGAATCACTGAACTCTACCTCTGAAATTAACAATACACTTATGTTAGCGTTATGCTGATTAACTGAATTAAAAAAAAAGTAGCTGTTGGGGTTGGTGTTGCTGCAAGTAGAGCTCACGGAGAGCTAAAAACCAGTGGAAAAAGATCCTAAAAATTAAAGCAGAGCTCTTCTATATTCAACCAAGATTTTTTTTTTTTTTCCACCTTGTAGTTTTCTAAGGTTTTAAATTTTTAAAGACTGGGACACCTGGGTGGGTTGGCTGGTTAAGCGGCTGTCCTCAGCTCAGGTCATGATCCTAGGGTCCCAGGATCGAGTCCCGAGTCGGGCTCCTTGCTCAGCTGGGAGCCTGCTTCTCCCTCTGCCTGCCATTCCTTCTTCTTGTGCTCTGATAAATTTAAATAAATTACTTAATTTTTAAAGACTTACTTCATACTCAGTGAAAGCCATCAATCTGTGCACTACTATTCTGACTCCCTGCCCTTACAGCCCCATCTCGAACTGGTCACTGATTTGGCTTCCTACACACTGCTCTAGTTCTAGCTTCCACCATCACTTGCTCTGCTTCTAACAGCTAGCTTCCCAACAGATCTTCCTCCAATCTAAGCCCATCAAGTATGCCTGCAGGAGATGCCAACCACTGGGTCATGTCGTTTTGTGCATAAGAACCTTCCTATAGCTGTGTTTCCATGGTAGCCAGGCTGCAACTGTCTCCTACTCCAGGCTGTCTGCTCCCATGCTCAGATTGTACATATGGCACTTAGAAGTACAAATTTCAAAGTCAGATGCATTTCTGCTCATCTGACATGAGATGACCAGCTCCACAGGCTCAGTTCTTACCCCGTCATCAGCCTGGACCTTTCTTCTCTTCTTGACTTTCTCTGGCATGAGTTTGTCTACTCTCTCCTTATCTGATACTGTTCCAAATTCATCTTCAAAGCTTCGCCAGGATTCCAGCAACATAAGTCTCTCTTCCTTTTCTTCACAGTTCCTCATGGTTTTGTTAGCCTCTTCATAAATTTGTCTGCATTTAGCCAAACTTCCTTCTTTCCCCGAAGACAGCTCAAACTGTGCAAAGCTGATCCATACCTTAAGAAAAATTATTATAGAAGCAAATTAACCACGTCATCCAGAAAACGATCATGTAATAATGCTAATTTCTAGTTAATGACATCTGAACATACTAATGTATTCATCTGTAGTATTCCAAAGAACGTATTGATTATATGCTTCAATGATGTTGAAGCAGTCTGCTTCTATATCCAATTAGGTGTTTGAAATGGTCTTAAAATCCTGAAAAGAGTTTAACTTTTTATTCAATCCTGTGATATTCAAGTTACTCCCATGCAGTATAAATATTGACCTAGTATAAGCTTTATATTCCAAAGTCCTCTGAGACTCATGGGCTCTTTCTAAAAGCAAGAAAAGCACTAAAAAAAACAAAACAAAAAACTGATACACTTAAAATACAGAAATATGATATTTCCTTTAGAACTGCTGATTTAGGCAAAATCAAAGAATCAACAGAGTGCAGGATACCTTGACATGTTGTGTCCGCTGAAGCAATCTTCGGTAAAGATTTCGTGTTCTCTCAGTTTCTTCCTGCTCAATTTCAAAATCAATATATGACTTCCAAAGCACCTAAGAAAGAACTTAATAAGTCAGCCTTGACATTTAAAGAGCAACATGTCCCTATCAGCTTAACGACCATTCCAACCTAGGACATCCAGGAACCTAGGACTTCTATGAACGAATTAAAGAACAGGTAGCATCTGGACACAATAAAAACAGTGGCATTTACAAGCTGACCAAAACTTGGCTACTATTCTACATTATGAGATAAAAGGCTTTGGATTCATTTTTGGATTCTCTTTCAGAGCTGGACTTACCAAGAAAAGCTCAGAGACTTGCCAAGTCTCCCAGACACTGCCATGATCCTGTCACATACAACTGCCATTGCCAGGAGATGACATGGCTCGATTATCCAGGATTTACTCTTCTTACCTCCACTGTAAATTCCTTGATAGGTCTGAGTTCACCTCAACAACTATTCAGTAAACAGCAGTACACCTGCTAGGTACTGCCTGTCGGGACAAGGATGGAGTAACATGTGGCCTGGATGCCTGGGAGCTGAGGCCAACTGATAGAACCATTATACGTAAAGAAATGCCCTAATGCAGCCAGTGGGACCCAAGCCATAAAATGCAGTCACATTAGGGCAAGATTCACAAAAAGGCTGGGTGAGTTCAGTGGCTCTCAAATGGGTCCTAGTTGTGGCTTGGCGCCACCTTGTGGCTTAAGTTTAAATAGGGAAGGGACAGGCGAGGACGGTGGCAGTAGTTTAATTTCAGGAATATCCTGGTTTAGATAGAGCTTCTTTTGCTGACCCAATCTGGGAAAAACTGTGCCAGGACAATCTGAGGATGTTCAGTCTCAACCTTCATCTGCCCTGTTCTCCAGAGCTGCCTGCTGCCTATTTCCTTGCCTGGCCATCCCTGTCCCATCCCCTTTAGTTAGCCTTCTATTTGAAGACGGGAGGAAGAGAGCCAGTCACCTGCCCCATTACATCCCAACTCATTCTGGTGTCATCATGGGGCTTTGCTGGACTCTGGTATCCTACTAGAGGGCTGCTTCTCCCACTCCCATCCTTCTTCTATCCCCTCAACAGTAAAGTACTAATCTGGAGTAGACAAGACTGCAAGTGAGTTTATCTTTGTACTCTAAAGTGCACAACATGTAGACGGTCATCTAAAGCAATACTAGGGCAATATCTAAAACAAAATCATATTCATGTCGAGATTCTCACCTCTGGCATGTCTAAGCGTGGCTGACTGATGGCTAACTCGTAGATTGCCCGGGCTCTCTCAATATCACCAAGGATTGTTTCTAATTCTGCAAATTTAATCCAGGAGGTACAATTTTCAGGTCCAAATTCCAAGAACTTTTCATAAAGCTTCCGGCATCTGTCAAATTCTCGAAGCTGCAGCTCCAATTCTATGTAACCTTTAAATAACTTGTTCTTTGGACATTTGCCTATGGAAGTTCCCTGGAAAATAAAATGACCAAACCACTGTGATATGTGGGTTCAACCTGTGTACAGACGTCGCTGACCTATCACAACAGCTCTTCTCTGCTGAGGAAGAACCCTCTGTGCTATCACATTGTCCACACAGGTTCTTGACAGAAGGCCAAGGAAACCCTCTACTTCACGTAGTGGTCAAGAGGGCCTATGCCCACTGGTTGCCTGTTCAGCAAGAGAGGGCTGCAGAACTGTCTGCACAAGTATTCTGGATTTTACTTAGTTTCTCAGGAGCACCTAGGGAATATGGATGTCAGATGGATGAAACCTCCTTTGTTTCCACAGAATGAAAGATGCCTCGCTGCCCACAGCCAGGGCAAGAGTGGCTTACAGAAGGACACCTGCATTTAAACAGTTTTTGATCTTATTAAGAGACTTTAGAACAGCTGTTAAGAGGAAGGTGCATGTACTACTGGGTATTTACCACAAAGATACAAAGGTAGGGATCCGAAGGGGTACGTGCACCCCAATGTTTATAGCAGCAATGTCCACAATAGCCAAACTGTGGAAAGAGCCAAGATGTCCAT